CAAGTGCTACTGTAAAAGAAGTCATCAGTTTGTAAAATGTCTATAATTATTTTCCTTCTTGAGCATTGTGCCCTTGTACTATATCACATCAGGTCAAAGGCACAAAGGGTTCACCTCTGCTGTGTTTGTGTGTACACAAGCAGTGACCTCTATGCTCAGGCTCAGGCTTTTAGGAGCTGTGGTCTTCATTTGTTTGGACAGCAGAATTAATTGAGTCTAAAAAACGGTCACAAAATTCCTTAAGTATCAAACTGTTCATTAGCAATAGAACAGCAGCTCTGACCCTGTCAGGAAAATAACCTGTCTGTTGCCTGATTAAATGGCTGAACGGATGGTCGGTCCAGTGCCTTTAGAGAGAGAGAGGTTGAATAAACTTTCTATTGCGGAAACAATCCCAAAGTGACACGCTGCGAGGCAGGGGGGTTTGAGTCTTCAACGATATCCAGCTGAGCTGTCAACTGGCCATGAGCCAGACACGCAATCCCCCACCCCTCTCTCTGCCAGTACCATGTGAAGCATATACAATTTAAAAACCATTCTCCACTCAAGCGTGACAGTCTGCTTCCCTCACAGAGAGTAGAAAGAAAAGAAACATCTTCTGCTGTATAAACAACACTGTCTGTGTGTTTATGAGACGTTAAGCTGTTCCTAATGTGTGCCCAGCTTTAGGTAATATTCATGTGTCTGCTGTTATGACGTCTCTCTGCATAAATATTGTCTCCAATATTATGGTGATTACAGCAAAGAGGTCGAGTCTTTACACGCCAGCTTATTAAACAATGCAGATACACTTCATTTGCTGTTTTTACTTATTATATCAAATTGCCAATTAGTGCAAATATGTCAAATGGGTGTAAAGAATTTAGTATGTTTTTATGGCTTTCCCGTAAATGGAAACTAGCATCAATGGTCTCTCCTCCCCTGGGACAAATTCGAGCAAGGCACTTCAGTCTTGACTGGCATGAAATGTGGCCACACAAACACAAACAGTTATTTGTGCTGTCAATGCTGATTTGCCAGTCGTGAAGAGGCTGATACTGCACAGTAGAGTAGAACAGTCATCATTGGTGTACTATAACCACTTCAGTTGCCGTGATGCAGGCCTCTCGTGACTCGCCGCTTCCCTGCACTTCACTCTGCAATGCACGCGCCAAACAATGTGTCAATTATGTTTGCCACCAACATCCTCTGGGAACATGACATTGGAGCATGGACACTATTTGCATTCAAAGTAAAATATTACATTAGCTTTGTTGCCTCAAAGTCATTACAAGAAGGGTCTCATGTTCTTATGTTTTTTTATACATCATATGAAATGTATTCAACAATTTCAATATTCAGACTCAGCTACTTGCTAATCCATTTTTGTGTTATTATGTGATAGAAATCTTTTTTTTTTTTTTTTTTTTTTTTAACCTTTATTTTTCTCTTGCATTATTATCTTAATTTGTTTTTGTGTGAGGATATTCTTTCTTTATGCAGATATCTGCATTCCACAAAGGAGAAAATTGCATGTATTAAGCCTGAGTTCAGATTTGTCCATGTGGCTTTAAACACTTTCCTGCATCTAATCTTGGACTTGTTGGTCTTATTGTAATAGGTTTAAGTGACTTTGTGTGTCATGTGTGAACATACTTAGTTTGAGCTCACTTTAGTACCTGCAGTTAGCTATGTCATTTAATTGTTTAAATCCAATTTGTATGGATGGCCACGTTCCAGGTGGTGGTCTTGTGTGGGCTCGAGGAGAGTGTCACCAGGAGGAAGTGGCACATCTCTGCAGAGCCACCAGACATGCAGTTGACTCTGTCATTGACCCTGTCTGCCCTCCGGGACTGGCCCAGCCCTGTTTGTGTACTCTCTGCGTATGGCACGCCAGACTGCATGTTGCGTGCTTCTCACTGCCTTTCTCCTATGTTGTATATGTGTAATTATTGCGTGATGTACTTTCACTGCAGTCCCAGCAGTGAATCAGTGACCCTTTCTGTGCCAAATGAACCTCAATTATTCTCTGTCTCATTAGGCCCTATTGAGTTTGAGGAGTGCAATATAGCGATTGCTACAGAAGGTCAGTCATGTAATGTAATACTTTGCCAATAAAAATATTTTGGTGTCATTATATTTTTCTAATCTGTTTTTAACATTATCATTAAGGTGCAAAACCCAGAAAGAGGAAACCTTTTGGTATACCAGGACGGAGGAAAGACAAAGACACAGACTCTACGTGAGTTAAGGAAGTTTAATCAGTTTTAACACTAAACCATAAATAATAACATGTATATAATTATATAATATATATATATATTTATTTTTTTATTATATTTTTTAGAGAGTCGACAGAAGTTGAAGCTACTGTGAGTAATATTTGGTGTAACACATTTGTTTGTTGAGTCTCAGTGGATGTATTGGCTATAGGTGAAAAAGTCGTCAACTGGCTCTATTAATTTTTCTTGCTTTGTTTATGCTGATAGAACACTGCCAATGGTGCTCCTCCAGGATACTATGGAGCCATAGACATCCAAAACGCTGTAAGCATGCTCACACTATGACAACATACCAAAAACATCACAACAAAACCTTTAGTTCCAGTTTGGACAATATTGACAAAATAATATCTTATTTTATGTTTTCTTTTTTGACTAACAATAATCCGAAACGTATTAATGGAAATGTTATAAATGTTAAAGGACTGTAAAAATTATCTACAAATGTCCAAATGTTTTCTCCTCAGAATGTTCCACAAGTTGATGCAGAGGGCTTTTGCATAAGGCCAGAAGAAAATGAAAACAATATCCTTTTGGTTACTAAGTTATAATTATAATATATATATTTTTGTGTGATGAATAGCATTCTGTGCAGGTTTTTTTTTTACCCCGTATAGTTCACTTACATATTTCTTAACAGTTTGCGTCACATACCAAAGAAAACTCCTTTTATTCATCCAGCGATTCAGAAGATGAGGATGAACCACGGAAGTTCCACGTGGAAATTAAACCTGTTCAACCAAACAACGGCACGCACCAGAACCGAGCCACTATAGACGAACTAAAGGCCTCCATCGGAAACATCATCCTTTCTCCTTCTGCCTCAGTATGAGCTTTAATTGTTTAAGATGTAACCCAAATTTATTGCAGCTTTGTAACACTAGAGGGCAACAGGAGCATGTCAAACCTACTTGTGAATGTGCTGATAAATTGTATAAGCAACCTTTACAAGTTTTACTTTATATAGTGCATTATAGTTTCCAGTAAAAAATGTATACTACAATATATTTTTAATTTACTAACATTTTCAGTAATAAGTAAAAGTGATGGAAGAAAAATTTGTGAGATTTTTTTCCTCCATCAGTTTACATTTGGCACCAGCAAAGAATGGGTTATGTGCTGTTGAGAAACCATGAAGCAGTGCTACAATGACAGCAAATGTACACAATCTAAAGAAATCATAAATTATGCAGACAAAATTTGTGAATTTAACCTAGCCATTTATTTATTCTAAAGTAAATTAAAATTGTGTCTTGTAGGAATTGTCTCGTCCCACACTTAATTCTAATACATAAAATTGTCTTCACAGTCAGAAAAAAAAAAATTAAGTAAAAGTAGAACATCATGCAAACCATATGCCTATAGATACGTGGTTAACCTACTTATAAGCAGGTGTTGTTCTTCTGCCAGTCCCAAGCATGGATAAAAATATGAAAAATTGTACTTTCATCCAGATCAAAAGGAATATAAATGTTTCGGTTACTTAATCAACAACAACAGGTGACATAAAAGATTAAAGTCACTGTTGCTTGTGTGCAAACCCTGTGTGTTCCCCGTACTGTTGTTGTTAGCTTTAATTGCAAGGGGGTCGGGGGCCATGCTCAGTGTTGTGAAGGATCACACAGCCGACTCTTTGACTGCACATTAACCACTGTCACGGCATCTTCATGGACCAACTCTCTCAACTTTTTATTTTCATGGATTCCTGGTTGCCATAGTGATCAAGAGATTCAAATTAAAATATATATAATTTGAATGGGGAAAGGTTCTCACCAAAATAAATAAAAAAAATTAAATCAGGTGGGAATTATTTGTCTGAAACCCATGAATACTTTTTTCCATTTATGGAAAAGTTATTTTTATCTACATTTTTTACCAATATGTATATTTACAAAAATTTTGTCTGTTGTAACACTAATCTGACAATGCTAATATAATATAAGGGGATAAAATAGGGAAAAGTAACAACTCCATAAGCATTTATTAGAATTTTGCTTTTTGTATAGACATATACTCTATTTCTTATTTTGCGTTAATTTAATTTTATATAAATTCCAACTGTCCTATATACAATTTATAAATATATGTTTTTAAAAAGTTTTTTAAAACATATACTTTTTGGATTAGTCAAAATTTTTATTGTTGTGACATAGTTTGACTTTTGGAATTTAGCTGAATGTATTGTGTATTTGCTCTATGATGAAATATTGAATACTAAACATAGTAATTATAGACGCACACTTTGTATGCAGCCATAATAAGTGCTTGTATTCTTTTGCGGATAAGCATAAGAGATGGTGACGAATTTAGCGTCATCTGGTGCAAATTATTTGTAAGACTTCTTTCTCCCCGTGCAGCCTCACAGCTCCCCAGCTCAAAGCTCACTTTTTTCTGTCTTTTTCTCTTTTATTTCTCCTCCTGTTTGCCTCCCCTTCTGAAGCCCAATGCCTTTATTGAAACAGAGATGGAAGTTGTGAGTGTGTGTGGCCAGCCAGAGCCGTAATTGAACCCATTTGCTGCTTAGCGCCTGTGGGACTAAACTCCGGCCCTCACAGAGCTGCGGTGGTTAAATGGTTTTGCCGTATTCTTTTAACCTATTTCTGTTTGTTCTGACAAAAGTCTCTCGAAACTTTCTCCTCTGACAAATAAATTCTTGACTGAAATGGATGCTCTAACTTTCCGTTCTGCTGGTTGCCCCCCCTGAAGTAAATCTTGTTTATATTGTGTTGAATTGTAAGATATGGCTGATTTATGCCTTCACTTGAATGGAGTCAAGTGCAAAAGTCCTGGGGAAATAGTTTTTGTTGTCCCCAGCTGAGTTTTGTGCTGCTGAAATTTTCACCTTAGATTAAATGTCTGGTATGCGCTGACAAGGTGTAATTTTTACTCTTGAAGAGGAAAACTTCTGTTCTCACGAGGAATAATATTTCTTAATGACGTATAAGGAAAAGGTTAACTATAATGTGGAAACATTATGTTTTATTTAAATATTTTTAATTATTGATGTTTATCATAACATCAATTCTATACATTTATGTCAATTAGTTTTATACATTTTGAAGTGATATGGGGAGTATATTGGTAGTTTTGTTTTTTTTAACTAAGCATCTGCATGCAACATACAATGGATTCAACCAGTGATTATCTCTAATAGCTGCTTTTTTGCTTCCTGTACAGGGTCAAATGCGGAGGAACCAGTCGAGTGAGTATTTTCTCTGTCTGTCTGACCTTTGTATATTGCTGTCATACTCCATGACTGTGAAAGGGCTTGCCTGTATAAATTCCCAACTTCATTTCCCTTGGCTGGGGTTGTTTCTAAAAAGCCAATTTTTTAAAAGAAAAAATCCACTCTCCTCGCCAAAATCAACAGATCCTCTCAAAATAATTTATTCTTTTATAGAGTTGTTTTAAGGGAAATTTCACAACTGTGTACAAATGGGACAAATTACTCAATTAGATATTTGTAACTTTACATGCTGATATTTACCTTTTCCTCCTGCAAACTTAAACTTTTCAGTGCTTTTGTTTTTATTTTTGCTTTATAATTGTAATATATATATATATATATATATATATATATATATATATATATATATATATATATATATATATATATATATATTTTTTTTTTTTTTTTTTTTACACATTTCCCATTTTTTTAAATAAATCACAAAATTATGAATTGATAGCTATAAACTTTACTTTACACACACATAGGGCACACAGGAGCCACAATAAGGATTGGCCGTGGTAAGTACATCATTGGTCTACTCCCTGCCTTCCTCTTCATTGAAAATAATTCGCAACATTATTTTGAGCGCTTGGTATAGATGGTTCACATAACTGCCGGAGCTACTTGACTAACATGGCTGACACACTGCACACTACACCATTTGGTAAAAAAACATTTTTATTTGAGTTTGATATTTTGGGAATAACTGCTGCTTTCACATTGTAACACTTTAGAAAAGGGCACAAATTACCAATTTGAATGATCTTTTATCTGAACCCCTTGTTGTAAAGTGTTATCACTAAAATAAAACACAGATAAAAAGTATTTGCACAAGATTTAAGGGCTTTTACTTGAATTATACCCTGAATCTTACTGCAAATACTCACTCTTTGAGACTTACTGTTTATGTAGCCTCCGTTTCTATTCCAGATACAATTCAAAGTATATTTTGATTTTTAATATTGTTTCTGGATAAATCTGGTTGGAACTATTTAGATGGGCTTTTGAAACATATAAAACTCTTTTTACAAGAATTAATATATGCTTTCTAAAATTCAGTTTTGTTTCTTTTAGGTGATGAATTAGCAAAAAGCAAAGTGCCAACATCATATGAGTAAGAACAGTATTTTAACTAAACATATTTTTCTATTAAATCTTTGGTCCTTACTTGTTTTTCTTTGATCAGACTGACAAACAATGACCTGTTATCTTTGGACCCATTTGGCCCAAATGTTGCTGCAGGCTCCTCTTCGTCCATTTCATCTACGACAGGTAAGGTACATATTGTGAAATGTTACATATTTTGGGATCACCCGAATTATCAAACTTTGCAACTTGAATTCAGTGCTATGAATATGAGGAACTCAGAATTTCTAATATAATTTTATTGTATTTAGTTTTTCTTTTGGCGATTATGGTTCATTTACAGAAGTGTTGAGTTTAGTGACTCTTTTGGCTTCCACATGGCACCTGGGTTTAAAGAGAGTGACATTAGCACTGACCCATTGCCTAGGCTAAGTGTAATCCACAGTTAATTGGCACCTAGTTAAGGTCAGCAGGTCGGCTATAAAACCCACCAGCACGTATGTTGTCAAACAGTGTCTCATTACTGTCGAAGGTCACAGCTTTAAAGTCAAAAGAGCATCACCAAGTGCCTCATACTGATGGGAATTAGGCCTGTGCTTATAGCTGCTTTAATCTCCCTGTGTACAGTGTATTATCAGCTCCAACTGCACACATGACACTTAGATTGGTCTGCTCAACAGATTAAACGCCTTTGGAGGGATTTAGGTTCCTCTGTATATAAATATACATTTATTTTACTTATTTGTTAAAGGTCCATTGTGTAACTTTTTTGATGGAGATTTCGTCAAATGCTTTTCTTCATGGAGGTGTTATTGCTTTATCTAGAATGTTTCACGTTTTGGTATCAAATCTTACTATCTTCATGTATATCCGATGTAGGTCCGATCTGTGGAGAGGCAACCCCGCTCACAGTCCGAATGCCTATTTTTCTAAGTATTTTTAGCTATAGAACCATCTGGAATTTAATAAATTTAAGGTAGTTCTGTTTAATATCATACTGCGGAACATTTCAGGTAGAGCAATGACATATCCGTTGAAACAAAGTTACAGAGTCCACCTTTAAATTTGTTTTATTGTGGCTTTTTGTTAGATCTAGCGTCTCTTTTCTACCCAAACCCTTCATGTCCATCTTTTTTGGTAAATGAGTGTGATGACATTATCCTCCCTGAGGCACCAGGTAAATTTTCCCGCTCACAGATTATCTTCCATGTATACAATATAGTTCTAACATCATGTGAGCATGTTTAGCTAACCACAGGTTTTTGGTTGCTGTGGGTTCTGCTTGGTATTAGAATATCAGAAATACCATGAATACACCCAATATACACCCACTACAGTGTTATCACAGCAATGGAGATAAATATTGATGCTAGGGAAAGGGCTTGATTCTTGGTACCAATTCTGATACCACAATATATTTTTTTCTTTATCAGTACTTAGCAAGTACTTAGTACTCAAATAAGCATCTGGTTTCGATTTTATCTGAGTAACAGTTACAAACCAGTTGCTAGGGACAAAGTAACACAAAAAATATGTAATTTAAATTAAGTGACTAGAAGGTAAAAGGTAAACGTAATCAAACACAGCAAAACATGGGTATCGTATAAGAAAAATTAGAAGTTCCCAATAAGCTAAATGACAAAAAGGAGTCTATAAATGAATAAGGCTAAATGAAAGAAAATCTCATATGCCCGAAGACTGAGCTAGAATGGCACTCACAACAGGTAGGCCTTTAGTGACCTCTTTGGCTTTTTCGTTTAGAGACTTCTTCATTATTGGGAACTTTAAATTTATCTTATGTAATACCCACTTTTATTACTTTCTTTTGTGCCTAGCAACTGGTTTGTAACATAATGAGGGCTCATCTGAGAGTTCCGAGGTTAATTTTATCCCGGATGATGTCCCCAATATGTTACAAACCAGTTGCTACCCCGAACTCAAAAGGAAATGAATACTTGCTTATTGTTATGTGTGCTTCTGCTCGCTTTCCTGAAGCTATACCTCTACGGAAAAGACAACTTTAACACAAAGCTACAGAGTACTTGTTGTTGCCTACATGCACATTTAATACATCGATGGCACAATACTGAACAAGCCAACCCCATAATCTTCTATCTATATATTGACTGATTTGATTGAACATATTCTGATTATTAAAATTATGAAAATATTATAAAATATTTGTTCTAAATTATTTCATAACTGAGATCTTTTGTTCTGTTTAGTCAATGGAATTTAACTTGACTTCTTCCAAAGCCTCAACTCTGCTCCAAACCACACACACTTACTGCCATAAGACTGACTGTGGATCTCTCGATTAAAAAGCCTCAACTATTGAATCTCAAATCTTTATTAAAATTTGAAATAATTGTGCAGCCTAATTAAGAAACTGCTTTGTGGTTAAGATCTAAACAGTTGATTTATATCACAATGTGAATGCATTGTAATATTATGTTTGTAGTTGATGAAGCCTTTACTAACATAACCTTTACATTATTTTCTTTCTGCTTTGAATTCTTAATTTTTGTTTGTTCTGAGAAATAATTTAATTTGCCATTATTGTAATTAACTAAGCTAAAGGCCTGTGTATTGCAGTGAATGTACAGTAATCTCATGTAACTGTTATTATAATTTTGTTCTAAAAGTTTGTCATTTACTTGCTCCACATTTGTTGCGGCCCATCTCCACCAAACCCCCCTTTCAGCTGACACTATGCTACAGCACAAGAGCTCTCCTCCATTGGCAAAGCTCCAACCATCCAAAGATGTCTCCTCCTTTTCCTCCTCCATTTCCTCTCCCTGGGACTCACCAGAAGACCCTTCTCAAGCACTCAAACCTGCACCAGCCCGAGCCCGCAGCGCCCCCATCACACTGCCCACAGATGACCCCATCAAGAGCCCGGCGGCCGACAGCCCACCGAAGAGCGTGGACGCATTTTCCACTGTGTGCTGGTCCCAAAGCCAGTGGATTGCCTTCAATGACAGCTTTGCTCCTGCCCGACAAAGCTCAGGGCTTTCAGTAAAGGAGCCCCCGCACCCTTGCCCCAGCTCTTGCAGGTCAAGCCGTTTCCTGTCAGATGAATCATCTGAAGCCTATGGTAAGGCTGTGCCCATTCGAGATGATGGCTTCATTGATGTCTTCTGTGGAGTTAGTGATAAGCCAGCAACTTCAACAAACATATCATTTAATGGTAATCTTTGCATCGAGAGGAGGGAATGTTGCCTGAAGTGGAATGTTATGATGTTTAATTTTGCCTGTTCGGTGTCATTTTGCATTGTTTAGGTTGTTCTATTTGTATTTCATCCCTTTTTGCATTTTTTGGTGTTTATTGTTTTTTGCATTCCAACTTTTTGATGAATGTTTGTTTGTGTATATTATGGATTTGCATGGTTTTTGATGTGTCTTAAATGTTGTTTGTTTCCTTAATGCTCTTTGGTTTTCAACAGTGCCCCCCCCCAATAGACCCACCACTCCTCTGACAGCTGGAGCACTGATGCCTCCTCCTCGGCCATCGTCCAGACCCAAACTTGCTACAGGAAAGCTTACAGGCATAAATGAGATTGTACGTAACCATGGTACCAATTACCTTCATAAATCCAAACTAAGTAGTAACTAAGTAGTGATGTTGAAATGTATTTGAATTGTTTAATTATTAGGTTCGACCATTTAGTCCACCTAAGACCAATGCCAGCCCTCCACCTCCTGCACCACTGGCCCGAGCAGAGAGTTCATCTTCCTTGTCCTCGAATGCCTCATTTAGTGCAGGCAACACACCCACTGTTGGTGAGACATACTTTCTCTTCTTTCTACAGTTTCTGGTTTAGACACCATTCCTTGTGCACTGACTTCACATGTTGTCACTTCCATAGATTAACTTGGCTCATTTTCTTACCTCATTTTTTAAATTTTTCTTTAAGGAGCTGATATTAAATTTTTTAATTCAATTTTGGCCCTCAGACAAAGCATCTCTTAATCTTTCTTAAAACTAGAGCATTTAAAATCCTACATTTGTGCAGGTAAAAGTCTCACTCATCTCACTCACATACATTTTTGTTTTTTTATCTCTTCATTTGCTCTTTATGTCTTTACTTTGGCATAAAGAGGATGATGTGTTCATAGCCAAGCTGCCTACTTTTGAGAAGCGTTATGAAACACCCGCAGGTATCATTTCTAGTGGTTTATGTGAGAGATCCCTCCTCTCTCCAGCTCACAACTCGTGTAACTCAGTAGTTGTCTTTTCCATTACTAAAATGGATGTTACATGTTTCTGTTATTTCTTTACTTTTTCTTCTTTAGAACTTATACAAAATAATCTACTGTACTAATCTTATTTTTATGTAATGTCCTGCATTGATGTCAAGTGTATTAATACTTGTCCTGTGCAAGTTTTCATTATCTGAAGCACATTCTGTATGATCAAATCTGTTGAATCTCTTTTATTATGTATTTATTATACTGCGGAACTAAATAGATCTTCTTTTCAGGAACTTCGCGTGGTCCCAGCCCTGTGACCTTAGCATCCCAAGATGCTTTGCCCATTGCCGTTGCCTTCACAGAGACAGTTAATGCTTACTTCAAAGGAGCTGATCCCTCTAAGTGAGTCTCATGTGACTACCTGCTGCTGATTTTAAATAAAATTTTACCTGCAGTTGAAACATTTAATTGGAGACAGTGATCATACTGTTCATGTACATTACACACTCACTCACCTCAGACTGCTTAAACCGTCCCTTTCACATTGTATATGTGGAATGTTTTCCTTTCGTCTGACACCATTCTTTCAGTGTGGATAACATACATGGGGCAGATTATAGTGTAGGGCAGAGAAAACATACAGCCTTTTATTGGTTAACTGCTGTTAAATTGCTGCTGTGAAAAAGGCTTATTTTTTCAGGGATTAGCAAATGGAACATTTCAGGACCAATGCAGCATAGACACAGTGTGCTCCACAGCAAAGGCTCAACCTAAAGTCATGCAAAGAAAGATAAATACCACCATCCATTAAAATTACAGATGTTAATGTATTTATACCATATTTTTTTTATGATTTGGTTGAAATGAATAAATAATACATACATGAATGTTTCTCTGCAGGTGTATTGTGAAGATAACTGGAGACATGACCCTGTCATTCCCCATGGGCATTATCAAAGTGTTTACATCCAACCCTTCTCCTGCCGTCCTCACCTTCAAACTGAAGAACACCAGCAGGTTGGAGCAGATCCTCCCAAACCAGCAGCTGCTTCATAGGTGAGCCGATCCCCAAGAGGCTCCCATTTTAAGTGAAAGAGAGATGTTAAGAACTGAGGAAATGTAGACTGCGTCAGTGGGAGGAAATTCAATTAGTAATCTGACATAAACCTATCATTAAACTGTCAAGCTAAATATTTTCCACCAAACGCTAACGGCCACACTTTCAACAGACCAGTGCTTCATCTGAACAACTTTTTATTCTAAAATAATATTGAGCTCCAAACCATTCAACACATTATTTTATCTCACAAATTGAATGTCAAAAGTAGTACGTAGCTTACCACTAATAGTTTAACTGGGTCATTTAACATCCTCCTGAGGGTTCATTTTATTTTGATGCCTATGAAACCTAGCATGACCAGTATAAAACACTCATCACAATGTGTGTGTGTGTGTGGTGTTTTTTTGTTGTTTTTTTTTTCAATTATTCAGACAAATAACTTCAAAATATTTCATATCAGCCCCTTTTTAGGTGACTTCATTTACTGAAATGGTGTATGCTTTTCTCTAGTGATCCTTCCCAAAGTGACTTGGATAGCAAAGACTATTTTTTCAACATGCAAGCACTAATGTCCTACCTCAGGAAAGTGTCGGAGCAGAACCCCTCGGCATCTTACTTCAATATCGATATATTAAAATACCAGGTATATTAAAATACCAGCTGCATCAATGTGACACATATGGATTTTGTAGTAGAAGATTCTCCTGTTTTCATGACTCTGCATGTAGGTCCTTACTGATGGGATCCTCTCCACCCCCCTGAACCTGGCGGTATACTGGAAGTGCACACCAAGCACCACAGACCTTCGGTTGGACTACCGCTATAACCCAGACTCCATGGCCTCACCGGGCCCTTTGACAAACGTCCAGATACTTGTGCCTGTGGATGGGGGAGTAACCAGCATGCAGTCTCTCCCAAACTCCATATGGTGAGGACAAACACAATTTCATAGCTTGGCCATTCATTTAAATTTTTGATATTTACTCAAGTTGTATGGTTTTATTCATGTAGGAATTCTGAGCAGAACAAGTGTTTGTGGAAACTGAGTGATATTTCAGACAAAGCTGATAATGAAGGTAAACATTATTAGTTCTTTATTACCATTCATGGTCTGTTAATATACAGTCCCTGACAAAAGTCTTGTCGCTTATCCATTTTGTAGAAACAAAAGCTTATAACCTGACTTTAAATTAATCGATTGATATGAAAGCTAAAACCCTCCCAAATTATGTTCAATATACTAAAATAAATTTGCTTCACTGAAGAAAGATTGATCATTTAATGAACACAGAAAGGTCAGAGTTTGGCAAGACAAAAATCTTGTCACCTTGTCATATGATGCACCCAATCCTAGATTACTGCCTCACCTGTGATCAGTTACTGATCAATCAATTAGTGGGTGTGTATAAAAAGAACCCCAGCACACCAGACCTTCACATCAACTGCAACTTGACCTCTGACAACATGCCTAAGATCCACTGTGAGACCAAAGCGTTAATTATCAAGAGGCTGAAGACCAGATCCACTGCTGAGGTGGCTGACACCTTCAATGTGTCTCAGCGTCAAGTACAAAGAATAAGAAAAAGATCTGAAATGACTGGAGATGTTTTTGACAAGCCCAGGTCCGGCAGACCCCGCAAGACAACTGCTCAGGAGGACCGTTTGTTGATTCGACAATCCAAGGCCAGCCCCTTTTCCACTGCAGCAGATCTCCACCAGGCCTGGTCACCTCAAGTCCCTGTGTCAACCAGAACAGTTTGTAGAATTCTGTCTCGAAATGGCCTCCATGGTCGAATCAGTGCACAGAAACCAGCACTAAACAAAAGGCAATTAAAAACTGTGTGGCATTTGCCAAGGCCCACAGCCTGCTAAAAGGATGGACACTGGAAAAGTGGCAGAAGGTGGATTTCTCAGTTGAATCCTCGGTTGAATTACATCACAGCCGCCGCAAATATTGCAGGAGACCTACTGGAGCCTGCATGGATCCGAGATTCACCCAGAAAACAGTTAAGTTTGGTGGCGGAAAAATCATGGTCTGGGGTTACATCCAGAATGTGAGTGTGCGAGACATTTGCAGGGTGGAAGGCAATATCAATAGCCTAAAATATCAAGAAGTATTAACTACCTCTTACGTTCCCAACCATAAAAGGGGTCAAATTTTGCAGCAGGATGGTGCTCCATCGCATACTTCTATCTCTACATCAAAGTTTCTCAAGGTGAAGAAGATCAAGGTGCTCCAGGACTGGCCAGCCCAGTCACCAGACATGAACATCATTGAGCATGTCTGGGGTAGAATGAAAGAAGAAGTATGGAAGGCAAAACCAAAGAATCTTGATGAACTCTGGGAAGCATGTAAGACTGCTTTCTTTGCTATTCCTGATGACTTGAACAAATTGTGTCTTGAACAAATTGACTGCATGGATGCAGTCCTTCAAGCTCATGGAAGTCATACAAGATATTAAATATGGATCTCACAGCACCACTACTTAATTCACTGACGTTATGCAACATATTTTTGTATTTGAAGTAAATTATTTGTTCAGTTTTCTGTAGGCGACAAAACTTTTGTCTTGCCAAAATCTGACCTTTCTGTGTTCATTAAATGATCAATCTTTCTTCAGTGAAGCAAATTTATTTTAGTATATTGAGCATAATTTGGGAGGGTTTTAGCTTTCATATGAGACATTTCTAAAACCAATCGATTAATTTAAAGTCAGGTTATAAGCTTTTGTTTCTACAAAATGGATAAGCGGCAAGACTTTTGTCAGGGACTGTATAATGAAACTGATGATGGATGGTGCTATGATTTGTTTGTGCTTGGTCTCAGGTTCTGGTTCTGTAAGGGCCAAGTTTGAGCTCTCAAATGGGCCGTCGACCCCCTCCACTCTCGCAGTGCAGTTTATGAATGAAGGGAGCACCCTGTCAGGAGTGGACATGGAGCTGCATGGGTCTGGTTACAGACTGTCTCTCAATAAGAAGAGATTTGCTACAGGTTGGTAATTGACTTTTTGTCATCAGCTTGTGCGGCTGTTATTTAAATAACCAAATGCATTTGTGTATTTTAGGGCGTTACATGGCCGATTGCTGAGGTAGGAGGTAGGACTCGCTGTTCAGGTTGTTTCTGAAAGCCAATTATGAATCCATCCAAGCGCAGGTGTATTTTTACCTTGGAAGTGGGAAACTCACTACGATTAAGCAGCACTGAGTAATGAACACTGTGTAAGAGACAAAAAGAAGAGACAAAAAGAAGAGAAAATAATGAGGAACATGTCATAATTAAGTATAATGAGCTTTTGTTCAATACACTTTGTATAGTTTATGAATTAGATATAAATCTAATGTGCACTAACAATCCTTACTAAAGAATGCCGCATGAAAGAAAAGACAAACTGTATATATCAGCTTGACCAACTATAACTCAGATCATTTTTCACTAATGCCTATCTCCTTGTGGCACAATATCAAAAAGTGCTTTTTTAACAAATGCAAAAAATCTGACCTCAGTGCCTGTTACTGTGTTACTGTGGATCAAATTTCATGTTGATTAATATTTTTGACCCAGAGTGGGTTTCCAGATTTAAGCTACATTTCGCTGTGGTAAGATATGATTCTCTAATCACCCAAAGCGGGACCTGTGATCACTGTCTTTTTTAATTACCCATCAGTATGCATGCCCATTTTTCTGTGCAACAAATTCAAGAGATTTTTCTCATGCTACCTTTTGTACAATTGGCCATGTTTTAGGCACTTGTTGCCTTGTTAATATTGAGATGTGCCTGAATCGACCTTTGTCTACAGTGCATTTAATGAGGCTAATGCGTAACATTGTGCCAGTTTTGTTTTTACTACTTTATTGGATACTGAAGGGAAAAGCCTCATCTTTGTTCAACTTAACAGTCTTCCAAAAGTGAAAGAACCCGTTTGCCTCTTGAAGCTGTTTTGATTGTTATGTCTTTTTTATATCTTAATTCAGCTCAAGTGCACAACAAGTGCATGTGCAGCAGTAGCACCGCAAGGCCAAATAAATCCTGATGCCTTATCACTAATGTAGAACATTGGCTAATCCAATGTTGCAGATGTGGTTATGTTTGTAACCGTTCCACCTTCTTTGACTCTCAGAGGATGCTGGAAGAATGCACATTCAGTTAACAAAAAGCACAAGCATTACAATGTTGAGGTTATATTGAGTAGCTGGAGTAGCAACACTTTTAAAAAGCCGGTAACAAGGTGATAATAACATGTTTGAAAAACATCTTACAAAATCTAATTGTAAATTGTTCATAATGCTGTGCCTGGTTGCAACACTAAACCTGAATCTGCCAAAACAAGAAACAAGAAAATTAAGATTATATCATACCATCAGAAATAGAGTGTTGTTGTAAAAAAGAAAGTAAAAAAAAATACTGATTCAGACATTTTGGCAAGCTGGTTCTTGCTATCTCTCAGTCTAAATTCACAAGCATCTTTCTTTTCACTTTTCACAAAGTTTTTCTTAACTTGTAACAAACAGAATTTATTGGAGTTAAACAATGTGTAAATGATTGTCAAATTGTACATTTTTACCAATATCTTTGCCACTTTGTCTTCATGATTTTTGCATTATGCCTGTATTAAATGTGTAATATATAAATATATACAAATATATAAAAATGACAACTTTAAACTTGCTTGTGGTTTGTTTACTTTTTTTTTTTTTTTTAAGTATGATTTTTGGCATAAATGCATGCATTATTACATAATCATTTCTTGATTATTATTCAGTAGATGTATCTGATTTAACTTTTCACATGTATCACCATTGTCCTGGGAGAACCTTCTGTGAAAGAAATATTGCATGTATCTAGCATTACAACAAATTGTGTACATTTAGATATCTTTAGAATCTCAAGTGGCTTCTAGTGTTTAGATCAAAATTACTCATAGTGAAGATGATAGTATGTAAAATAAAATTAGGAGTACTTTTAAAACCTCCACATAAAAGATTTATGCTATAACACCATACTCTTTCAATTAGTAATATTGCTGATTTTATCTGGACATGGGTTTCTTGATGGGTTTTCACCATCAAATGCAGAGGATAAATTTCCCAACTGGGACATTCAATTGTACTTTACCTTACATTAAAATAAGTCACACTGGTGATAAGAGGCATAAAACCTTTTAAACCTTTGGCATGATAGTTAAACAAGAGCCAACTCTTCACAGGTCATGCTGCTGTCCACCATCTTTGACATGTTTGTCCAAAGACCCACAGGGCCCATAGAATTGAGTTATGCTTCCTTGCAGACAGGCTCCCACCTCAGTAACATTTATGGACAATTAATAATTGATATGTTCATTTGATCTCACAGTTCAACAAGGAGAAAACCATCTGAACAAACATGAACTCTCCTGTTTTTTACGGCTTATTGAAGCTCTACAAATTCCTCACCTTCACTTCTTCCCAGATCCATAACAACCTTTTTTAAATAACTCAAGTTATTGTCAGCGATGATGCTTTGCAATTTTCTTCTTAACAAAAAGGTGTTGTGTCAGTTGATTCCCATTGACATCAATATGAAAAAAAAATATTGCATTCATGTTTAACAGAAATATGTCATGACATTAATGTGTTAGTAATGAACAATATATCTAATATATGTCATGCCTTTAAAAATTGAGGTAGATGAAAAGGGGTTATCTTACAGTTTTGTTTACTTTTTATGGCAGGATGCATAAAACACTAGTCTCTTCAAATCTCCAAGCTTTTGTCATAGAGTGTAACACATAACAAGAATGTTGTGTGAAAATTACTTTTTATAACTACAATTCTCCTCCTTGAACTGCCACTCCCAGATTGGCATTACCAGGGCCTCACCCTGGAGCCAGACCTGGGGTGGGTGCTTGACAGCGAGCGTCTGGTGACCAGACCTTCCCCCATGGGGTCCGGCCTGGCACAACCCGAACGAGTGACGTGAGGCTGTCTTCCCATGGACCCACCACCCATGGGAGGATCCGTAAGGGGCTGATTCAAAGAGATCTGAGCAGCAGTCAAAGGTGGGGGCCTCAGCAACCGGATTTTGGGACATGGAAATTGGCTCTGGGGACATAGAATGTGACCTTGCTGGGGAGAAAAGAGCCTGAACTTGTGCGGGAGGTTGAGTGTTACCAACTAGATATAGTCGGTCTCACTACCACACACAGCCTGGGCTCTGGAACCCAACTCCTTGAGAGGAGCTGGACTCTCCATTTCTCTGGCTTTGCCCACATGGAGCAGCGGTGAACTGGTGCGGGCCTGCTCATTGCCCTACAGCTCAGCCACCGTGTGTTCGAGTTCACCCCGGTGAATGAGAGGGTAGCGTCCCTGTATCTTCAGGTCGAGGACAGATCTCTTACTGTGGTGTCAACCTACGGGCTGAACAGCAGTGCAGAGTACCCAGCCTTCTTGGAGTCCCTGGGAGGGGTACTAGACAGTGCACCAACTCGGGACTCCATTGTTCTATTGGGGGACTTCAACACCCACAGCCTCCCTGACCTGAACCTGAGCGGTGTTCTGCTAGTCACTAGGACACACTTTGTTGTCATGTCCTCTGACCTCCGGCCGCATGTCTTGAACAATCATGAAGAAAGGGGCAGAGCTGTCAATCGATCACCACCTGGTGGTGAGTTGGGTCGTAAGGTCTGTGGTGCCTGGCATGGCATCAATCCCCGAACCCGGTGATGGACAACAGAAGTAAGGGATTCCGTCAGGCTGAAGAAAGAATACTATCGTCCTTTTTGGCTTGTGGGACTCCTGACGCATCTGATGAGTACCGGCAGTCCAAGTGTGCTGCAGCCCGTGCGGTTGCAGAGGCTAAAACTCGGGGTTGGGAGGACTTTTAAGAGGCCATGGAGGAGGACTGTCAGTCGGCCTCAAAGAAATTCTGGAAAACCGTTCAACGCCTCAGGAGGGGGAAGTAGTGCTTCACTAACACTGATTACAGTGCGGGGGGAGAGCTGTTGACCTGTACTGGTGATGTTGTCGGACGGTGAAAGGAATACTTTGAGGATCTCCTCAATCCCACGTCATATCGTCCGAGGAGGAAAGAGGGGACTTTGAGGTGGATTTGTCCATCATTCAAGCTGAAGTCACTGAGGTGGTAGGTAAGTTCCTTGGTGGCAAGGCTCCAGGGGTGGATGAGATCCATTCTGAGTATCTTAAGTCTCTGGATGTTGTGGGGCTGTTTTGGCTGACATGTCTCTGCAATATCGTATGGCAGTTGGGGACAGTACCTATGGACTGGCAGACCGGGGGTGATGGTCCTTCTGTTATTAGAAGGGGGACCAGAGGGTGTGTTCCAACTATAATTGATAGTAATCTGGTTTTCATCTCGGCCACGGAACAGCTCAACACTCTCCATCGGGTGCTTGAGGGTTCATGAGAATTTTCCTAAACAGTCCACATGGGCTTTGTGAATCTGGAGAAGACTTTCGACCGTGTCCCTCGTGGTGTCCTGTGGGGGGTGCTCTAGGAGTATAGGGTTCGGAACCCTTTGTTAAGGGCTGTCCAGAGCAGGAGCTTTGTTTGCATTGCCATTAGTAAGTCAGACCTGTTCCTGGTGGATGTTGGACTCTGCCATTGCTGCCCTTTGTCACGGGTTCTGTTCTTTGCATTCATGGACAGAATTTCTAGGCGCAGTCAGTTGCTGGAGGGGGTCCAGTTTGGGGACCACAGGACCTCATCTCTGCTTTTCAGTTGTCGTGATGGCTTTATCAAAGCAGGACCTGCAACATGCACTGGGGCGGTTTGCAGCCAAGTGTAAAGTGGCTGGGATGAAGATCAGCTCCTCCATATCCAAGGCCATGCTTCTTGATCAGAAAAATGTGGCTTGCCCACTGCAGGTGGGTGACGAGTCCTTGCCTCAAATAGAGGAGTTTAAGTATCTCGGGTTCTTGTTCGCAAGTGAGGGGAGGATGGAGCCCAAGATTGACAGACGAATCGCTGCAGTGTCTGCAGTGATGTGGTCGCTGTATCGAACCATTGTGGTGAAGAGGGAGCTGAGCCGAAAGGCAAATTAAATTCATTTATCAGTCAAGCTATGTTCCTCCCCTCACCTATGGTCATGAGCTTTGGGTATAGACCGAAAGGACAAGAATGCAGACATAAGCGGCCGCAGGGTGGCTAGGCGCTCCCTTAGAGATAGGGTGAGGTGCTCAGTCGTACGTTAGAAGCTCCGAGTAGAGGAGTAGCGGAGGTGGCTCGGGCATCTGTTCCACATGTCCCACTGGAAGAAGGCCCCGGGAAAGTCCCAGGACACGCTGCAGGGACTATGTCTCTCGGCTTGCCTGGGAACGCCTCGGGGTCCCCCTGGAGGAGTTGGAGGAAGTGTCTGGGGTGGGGGAAGTCTGAGAGTCCCTGCTTAGACTGCTGCTCCTGCGACCCAGCCCCGGATAAGTGGAAGAAAATGGTTGAAAGGATAACTACAATAATTATTAATTGGTAATTAGTAGATTTTTTTTTTTAAGTAATTGGATGGATCGGCAAATTGATCCATTAAGATGGACCTTCCAGGGCACCAGACTACAGAGGGTCAGAGAAGCTCATTCTCCAACAGGCTCCTACAGCTCTCCCCTCACATTCTCCTCGGGGTCACATAGACCCGAAGAAACATTTTTTTTCCTTCCCGCTCTCTTGGGGCAGGTCAATCAGACCCAAAGAAAATTTTTCTCGCCTGGTGAGAAAATAAATGAAAATAATTTTTTGGGTCTGATTGACCGGCCCCAAGAGAGCGGGAAGGAAAAAAAAAGTTTCTTCGGAAAATAATATAAATAAAAATAATGATCATTATGAATACTATCTAATGAAATTTGTTTAATGTACTGTATTAACACAATGTTTTATACAAGATACATTTCTGCATATCTTTAATGCTTCTTTATGTGTCATCCCATTTCACCACATTATGATGTCAGTAGGACAGGAAGTAGATGACAATCCGATCCAGGGAGGAGATCCTGGCTCCTCTGAAAGCGACTTCACTCGCCCTGGGGAGAGGGAGTGGGACCTTCCGTGCTATGTTCACGAACGCACGTCACAGGCTATTTGTCATCGTAAGCATGTCTGTCTCTGTCTCTGGGGGAGGGGATACACAAACACCCAAACCTCAATCTTGGGTCTTTAACACTTTTAGGCATAGTACAGAGTTGTATGCTTTATTGACCAGTCTTGTGTTTAACTGAAGATGGTAGACAGATGTGGAGGATAGTTGTGCCCAGGGAACAATTAAGGCCGTATGAGTCAGCAGGGGATGGACACCCACACTCTTTCGGCCTTTTCGAGAGGAAATGTTCAGTTCATAAATATTTAGAGTTTGCTAATTAAAAGAATGTGTGTGGCTTGGATTGAGAAGGTTCTTTAAACAGTGAGATCATATGGAGTCTTTGTGTCATGATCTGCCCTTTGTTCATTAATGCCAAGTGAATTGAGCCGCATCTGGGGTAAGAAGGACTTTCACATCCAAGTTTAACCTTGATCAGCACTGGACAACATCTACTGCAATAGGAGAAGGAGTTTTCATTTGCTGCAATAATTTAGAAAAGGGATAAAAAGGGGTGTTTGTAGCTCATGGCATTTCTGATTAAAAATACAGATTCCTGGGGGCTGTAGATTGTATGCGATGTACTGGGACACATCCAAAACAGTACTTCGGTCAGTGAAGACAGACACTTATGGATTTGAGGAGCTTCAATGTCCTCTCATGTATCTTTCTGTCTGTCTAGTTATCTATCCTTTCATCTGGTAATCTCTATGATAGATGCACACTTAGATAGGTTAAAGGTAATAAACTGAAGATACAGCAGTTAGGCAAGCAGTAACGATGTAACCATGGCATCAGTAACAGTGTTACCATGGTGCTCCCAAGGACCCCTGAGCTGCCCAAAGAAAGCCTGAACTAAATAAACAGACTAACAGTGATACTGGGGAAATAACAACTCATAATATAATAGTTTTGTGAATACATTTTGATCAGAAAATGTTTAGATGTATCTGGTTGATAGCAGGAAAGTGAGGGTTAGTAAATGTAGAAAACACACATTTGGTTTCTGATGTAGGTCTGTATGTCCATTAACATACTTGAAAAATTTACATTGCCATCCATGAACAGACTTGACCACCTGACACGCCCTTTTTATCTCTAAAACCTCACACCTTTGAATCCTATTGTAGTGGTTTAGGGCAGTATCTGGTAAATGGTATTGTGATGGAAAATCATAATAATTTAATGTGCATTATTTGATTATGAGTGAAGTAGAGTAAAATGTAGTAGTGGCTACGTTACCTGACTGTGCCTTTCGTGTGGCTGACTCTTAACACATGTTTATTGCGTGATGTGTCTTTACACTTTGCATTCTAACATGCCACGCTGACTATTCAACTATTGCAGGGGAAGCTGTGCTAGACACAGTTTTGCATAACTGATTAACCCAGGGGCAGTATCTGTGTTAAGTAAGGAGTGCTTAATTTAGACCACTTTTGGATGCACGTTAGACCTACAATTTCTGTATACTGAATAACTCTCTGAAATTGCAAGCTTGGTATACTACCAAGCTTGTAGTATAAAAACTCTGGTGCACTCTCATAACTTTCATAGGCACTCTGTTGGAATTATAATAAAAGTTGTTTAACGATTACATGGGACAATATTTTAGAGCTTTCACCTGCCGATGAAACACTTTAGATGGAGTAGGCTATAATGTGTCAAGTATGTCAGAAACTACTTATTTGACCCTGAACATCTAATATTTTAGCATGCATATAGCAAAATGTTCCTCTCTAATACAGAGAACGTTACACACAATAATTATTGAGCCCTCAAAATTGTATCTTTTATATAGATACAGACTTACTTTTTCACAAAATTGTAGCATGCTACAAATATTGATAGAGAAAGCATACTTTATTACAGTTTGATAAATGTTTCATATGTTATATTAGTTACAACTTCTTACATATATTATATTATTATTATTATATGATATTATTATACTATATTAAGTAGTATCATATGACTTTGCAAATCTGTTTTTGGTAAACCACACTGCGGGCTGGATTAATAAGCAACTCCACAGTTTTACTTTGCTTATTTCTGAGTTAATATTTTGTGGGAAAAGCAGTTCTTTTTCTCTTAGTCTTTTATGGACTAACATGACAGAAGGCATAGCAGTAATGGACACCAACAGAGCTGCGGTACCTGCTGCAAGCACTCACCAGGGCAACCAGTTCCTGATCAGTGAAAAGAGCAGCGCTGCCCTCATGTTTTTGGGCATCTTTTTAGGTCTGGTGGGGATTGCTTTCACCACTTTGGGCTGGCAAAAGTACAACTTGACCACCATATTGGACTGGACACAACTCCTGGATCCCATCTTGATCTCTGTAGGGGGGACATTTATGCTCACCAGTGTCTTGAAGTTAGTTATGAGCTGTGCTTCACAAAATGAAGATATCACAGAGTCGGCAAGGCATTCGTTTACATTAAATCATCAAATTGTGTTACACAACGGTGTGACTTGTATCCCAGCTTCTAATAACTTCAGGCAGCCAGAGCTGGGTCCCTCTTCAACAGTCCTCCATGATGCACCTGTAACTCCAAGTGAGCCTCCTCCGCAGTATGACACACTATATACAGACAATAGAGCACCTGAGGGCTCCCAAGCAAATGTCAGGTAAAGTTATTCATTATTTGTATTTTTCATGGTATAGACTAATATTCCAAAGCCAGCTCTTTTTAATTCACATTTATTAAACATTAATTTTTACACTAATAAATCTTATTCAAGAGTTGCAAGTCTATCATGTTGTAGAGTGGTGAGTCTGTTGTTTTAATCCAATTACTTCCACTGGGTTTCAAGGAAAATATTTCACTTTAATACAAAGAGACACCAGCAATAATATTTTCAACCTAAGATAATAAACCCTAACCCAAATCATATGAACATGTGCTTAGCTCACCAGCCCTACTTATGCTGTCACAACATTTGAAATGCAGTTGGTTTCCATTATTAATGCCAAAGCTAGGAAATGATGATCGAAAATGGACCAAACTTTGGTTTGATGAACCTTCTTAAAACATGGATTGTAACATGTTTAACAAAAAGGTTAAGCTATTGTAAATAAATGAAAGTGAATGTATTCATGTGCCCACAGGAGCCAAAAGACTCTTGAAGAAGTCCACTCTGAGGCTGAGACCAGCCCTACCTGTGAGAGCCCCCCTGCGTATGAGGACATCTACCCTTCCACAAACTAATATGTTTTGTTGAATGACTGAACTATGTCATGATGTAAATATGAATGGCCACTGTTTTACTTTGCACTGCTAATCCAAACAGCCCTACCCTCAGTGGCATCCAAGAAGTCATACTGTTTCTTCCTGCTGTTATCATACACTTAGCACAATAATTATGTATGAAGTCATACATCCCACTAAGCTCAGCCTCCCTGAACGAAAGCCTCATTAAAACCAGATTTATGAACGAGATAAATTTGAGGTTTTGAAAATACTTTAATTTGATAGGCATATTATCTGACGTTCTAATAAACACAACCTAGGCCTATTTGTTGACTTTTTTTTTTTTAAGTAGAAAGTCAAAAAGGTAGTAGTTAATGAAAAAAAAAAAGCAACACCCACACCTATGTTTGCTACAAAATAAGAAATAAAAGAGTCCCTGCCTCTAGATAGGCTGCAAGCTTTAGGGGCTATCTATGAGTAGAAAAAGAACCACATGAGGGCAGACCTGAGCGCAGATGGAAAAAAAACAACAACAATAATAATAATAACAATAATAAAAATAATAATAATAACATATGTAATGTCACCAAAATATGTGGCAAAGGTCAAAATGAGTGAAACACACTGATCATGACACTTGGCCAAGTGCAGCCGTGCGGCGTACGTTCAGTATGACTTTCATTATTTTTACAGCATTGTAAAACGCGGGTGGCCCTCATGGATCTATAATAAGACCCCTACATCGGTCTTAAAGGTAAGCTAACCATTCCAACTCGGAGTCTATACGGTTATTAATCCTTTATTTGCTGCTGGGATATTTATGTTTATAGAAAAACATAATATGTTTTGACATTTAATGTTTTGACATTTTTAGGACAATTATTATCCAACCTTCTGCTAGCATGGCCATCAAGTGGGTGCACTGAGGATTCAGCTCATTTCTCTAAGCTTAGTACACAGTTTACTGATTTTTACAATAATTTAGTAAGACAGTGTTCGCATAATTGATACTTGATCACCAAAGGCTGGTTTAAGAAAGCGCTGCAACAGGTGTTTAGTAAGTAAAAGGATTTCTTCCGGATAGCCATGGGGTGAATAATTCTCCTATTATCGAGCCTATATTTCTACGATTCAAACTTATCGTGAAATTGCCTCAATATTACCTGTAATAAATGTTATTTGTCTTAAAGTATGACTTTGGGCCGATGTAACAATTACAATTACATATATAAAAAATAATGGGTGCATTTTTTGTCTTTCAAAGCCCCAATACAAGTCCCTGAAGGTGAATTAAATGATTTCCCGCCTTTATCATTGTGATAGTGTGCTATTTGCATGGATCTATTAAAATAAGGTTTATTTGTTACTAAGCGTCCGTATCATGAGGATCATCCTAATGAATGCTTTTGTAGCATATTTTATTTTTATTTATTTTTTTATTCTTTTAGAATTTTATTTTTTATGACTTTACCCAGCTGTAAAAGTGTTTGCGAAATAAGTTGGTGCGCATATATGAATGATCCGTGCTCCAGAGTGGTGCGTGCTGCTTTCATTTCTCTGCGGGTGCGTGTGTTGATGTGTCTGAGAGCTGCACTACGTAAGCCTGGGCAACTGTGGGCCGTGAAGTCGGGGGGACAAATGGATTCCATGTTTGAGGGAAAATGTGCTGGAGGGGCAGGAAAGCTTTGTTGTTTGTGAAGAACACGTGAAACTAATCAAATGCGAATTATCTTCCTGTTGTTGCAGCTTTTGTCGTTTGCAGTTTTTCACTTGAGTTTTCCAGTCATGTCACCACCCAGAGAGTGTTTGGATGGTAAGGAGAGACTCTGCAGAACAAAGTTAAATCATATATTCTACTCAATACAAAAGGGCCTGGAGAAATCAAATTCACTATTAACTTTAATGGGCAATCTGGACAGACTGACATTTTTTCTGCTGTCCCACAAACTTTGTCATGAGTTTAGTTCTCAGAGTTGATAAAAAAAAATAAAAATGCTAATGATCTTTAGGAAAAGTTTAAAATGCATATCTCTTCAATACTACACATATAGTATCTCTCAGTGTAATTATGTCTCATTGTAATTTTTTCCCTCCCTTTCACTTTCACTCCATGTGGCAGCGATAACTTTCCCACCACTGTTTTATGGACCACCTTCAAGCAGGTGTTTGGTTCATTCATAGAGAGTGTAGTTAGTTCACTATAGCCCCAGTTAATAATAATCTGAGCAGAATACAAGCAACTACAGTGGATTACAGTGACAACAGTGACAAATGTTGTGTTATGTACAATTGTACATGTTCATACAAGTATGTATAGTTTTTGAAGTTAAAGTAAAATATCCCTATAGACATGTTTTAAGCACTTCAGCATTTTATCACATAATTACAAAAGACACCTTGAATTTGATATAGTGCACACTATTACAGGTCATTGTTTAAATATCTCTATTTTATACATTATAGTTACTTTTTTAAATTCTACTAATAATATATTTTTGACCCGTCATTTTACACATTCTCTGTCATTTCAAACATTTTGTGACATTTGAAAGAAGAGTTCTTATACCTGTCTCTTTGTCTAAAGGATTGTTCTCTGGGAATGGCATTCTGAGGTTTATGACCTTACGATTTCTCCTTGTGACCAAGGTTTCCTCTGCCTGTCAGTAAACACAACAGTATTTCACACCAACACAAATTAGGAGCAAGCAGAAAAGTAAACATTAGAGAATTTGGGAGTGGGTTATTTTGGAAAAGAAATCCTGTGTTTAAAATAATATTTTACCTTTGGGAAAACTTCTGTCACTGACAATTTAAAGGGCACGGTGCCAACATTATGTCATTTTGCTGTTACGGCAGTATTTATGACTTTATTGAATTAGGGGAGAGAAAAAGTCTGTGGTGGGTCGATGTTCCGCGCAGGAGGAGCTAAAAGGCCGGTTTGAGGCGAGAATGGAAAATCAGAACTTATTTTTGTTTCAAATGTGTTTCCGTCCACATATGGTCCTTGTTTTGGCCTATATACTGGGAATCTGAGTGGTGAACTTTGACCCTAGCTCCTCAGACTGACATGATTTTGGCTGTCTCACTCAGGGGTTCAGTTCGACCCTCTGTCCCCCTGAGTTCAAAGGTCACCTCCAGGGAGCAGCAAATTAACCCAATGTGTCAAAGCTGGCATGACACCATGTTCAGCCGAGCTCCTCCGCTCCTATATAACCTTTTGCTTTTTCCACTCACATGTGTCGGATGTTAACTTATGTGATCTTTTCTGAGTCTTATTTCCAACTTTTCAAAATTTATGGTGCGTGACTAATTTCTTTTCCTTCAAACTCCATCGTTCTTGGGATCCCACACGTTAAATGACAATCACTTTTCTGCATATTCCTCTACTGTCTTCCTCTCGCTTGCATCTGTCTGATCTTCCTTGTGGTGCAGCTTCTCCCTCTCTGCCTGCGGTTAAAGACGTTTCAGTTCAGCTGTCACAAATTATGTTCGCCTGCCCAGCTGTCAAAACAGGGGGGTGTCCTTTTCATTCCACCTCACAAACTACGAAAGGAGATGGGAGGGAGGAGGGCTTTAATGCTCATGTTTGGACACAAGCAATTATCTCTAATTATTGTTTTTCTTTTCAGTTTCCCTGCCCCAATGGAGGTCCGAGCAGCCGAACATGCAATAATCCGCTCTGGTCGTACGGGATCAGCAGGCCCCACAGTCCATCGCTCGGTACTGGGACTGCGCGGCTTTCATCTCAATGTGAGTCAGGAGTTGATTCAAACATGGAGTGATAGGAGAATTAACCCCTGGGACCCAGCTTTCAATGGGCTCAGCTAAGAGATTATATGTGTTGATGGCAGGCTTTTTTATACATCAGCCATACAAAACTTTAGCTATTATAAGTGCATCATAAATTTTCAGGTGGAGAGTAAGCCACCTGCTTGTCTCCATGAGGACGTTATAGCTTTGTCTAGAATATTCCTCAGTTTGTCGTTAAATGTCTCTGTCTTATATTTATTTATTTTCGTGGCTTACATACATACATTGAAATCATGTCTTTTTATGGGATCGCCATTCCAGAGATTTGACTTGTAGCTTGGACTGGCCACCTTGTCCATAGAGTTTACAGTGGAATTTCCAAGCAAAATGAATAATAACATTCCCATATAGACAAGTAGGTGGGCGAGCCCTCCACCAAAAAAGTTACTGAGAGCATCTTTAAATCAAGGCGTCACCATCAGATTCATCACCCTTTTCATGTGCTCAAATCTCACAAATTCAGTGGAGCATTATCTCATTAAAGCCGCAGACAGGATTTTTAGCACTACATGTTCAAAGCGGTTGGACACCCATCTAATGCCTGTGGGACTTCTATGTGGCTTATTTCCTGTGACGTTCAGTGGGTCTTTTTGACATGTGTAAGATATGTGGTTCAGAACACACGGGAAAAAGAGCATGTCGATCATCATTTAATTAATTTGAATGTATGAAGGACGACTCTGGTGGTCCTTATGCAAAACAACATTTCTAAATCTGTCTCAAGTCTTTCCTCTCTCAAACTTATCGCATGCATCCTCTGGTTTTGAATGCACATCCAAAGGGAGGAGGATGCTGTACCAAAACCAAAAAAAAAACCTACAAGTCTCATGTATGACAGATAATCCAAAAGTCAGTGAGAGAAACCAGTTTTGAACTATGACACAGATAGCAGTTAGCAAGAAAGAAAAGTTTTCTTCTTTGTTTAATTGTTTCATTTAGGAAGCCAATTTATTTGATCTTGTTATGTTTTTCGTTCAATATTGAATGTGCTGTTTTAATGAAGGAATAGGGTGAAAATAATAAGCTTTATTTTCCAATTAAGATTTTAACAAGATACCGCACATTTAAAACCCAGCCGTAGCAGCTGTGAATTAAAATACCCTTGATGCATTGAATCTCGCTCTCAGGACGTTTATGAATGTGAGGAGCAGGGCAGTGTAACAGTTAGCTCACATATGGTTTCATAGCTGAATTTGAAGTTGATCGCCTTGACCAGCCCTAACCTTATTTGGTCACATTACAATAAGAGTAATGCACTTTACATGGACCACCAGTGTTCAAGTTAGGGTTGTGTATGCAATAGCCAAGCGTGTAGGAGTATGTAACTCCTTTAGTGTGGAATCATTATGGCTCTGTAAAACTCATCTGTGTCAATAAAAACCACCAAAGTGAGCGTTGACTTGTCAGGTTATGAGATTTCCACATGCTTTATGCAGACCTGCACTGAGTCCAGCGCAGGGGATTTTCCCTCTAGCACCAAAATGACTTTTA